CTGTCAGAAGATTCTGAAATTAAGACATTAGATTTTTCCCTTTGTGTTTTCCCCAGAGTCAGGGGAATCAGTACACTAAACTGAAATACATAGATTTAAAGAAACAAACATTTGAGTTTATAATGAAAACACATTTAAGACATTTTGCATTATTGTGGTTTTCTGCTCCAAAATTATCAGTAATTTAAGATTATTTTTATATCCTTTAATACAAATGGGAAGTATTTAGGAACAAAAGGCAAGTAAATCACTTTTCATTCTAAGCAAATGAGAAACTTTCCCCTTGTACGGTATTTATTGATGATAAGTAGTTTTGCAGACAATACAGAACTGACCTGATTATAGTAGTGAGTCTTAGTATACATTAATCCTGATTTCAGATAAAGAGCAAGTAAATTTGGTTTCTTTTCGTTTACCCATTCCTCCTGAATCAGTCTTTTGTGAGGAAACTGCCATTGAGCCTATGTCTACTGTGAGTGTACCCAAAGCCAACTGCATAACATGCTGTGTCCTTTCAGGGTCACTGAAGGCCACGTTTCAACATCTCCAAGTTGTCTCCTTTCTGCAAGTCTGGAAGGGGTTTCTGTTCTTGCTGACCAAATGCAGGGATCCAAGTAGACACCCAGGGAGATGGTTATAGTGATACCAAGGCATGGTTTTACTTTGTATCTTTTGCAAGTAAATAGCATCCGAATTGTTTAAATTAAGTCACCACATTGATGTGTCTGAGAAAGCAATGGCCAGATGGTGCTGAGTACAACAAGGCAGTGACACATATTATTTCATCCTTTTTACTATTTATGAGACTGGAACTCCAGTTGAGCTGCTTAGATGGTGGTTGGACCATGCTCTGTTAGCACAAGAAAGAAACTGGATGTCTTTTCTATTAACCTGTTTTTCTTGCTCTTCCATTTTTATTTCATCGTGGCCTTTATTTCCTCTTAGGATTGACTCTCACAATGACCAGCAGGATCAGAGTACAATCTTACTCAAATGCTTGCATGCTTTTGGAGACACAGCAGGTGGCTGCACCTTCTCTTTTCTTTTTCTTTAGAAAAAGGTCACAAAAGTTCTAATGTCCAGTGCTTTCTGCTCAAGCTTCTCTTATAAAGTTTCTCAGAAATGTTTTGGGCTAAGAAAAGCAAGTGTTGTCTCTCCCCAAGGCGCTTCCCATGCCTGTTATAAGCCTTCCCCCGGTGACTGAGGGGAAAGGCAAGTGGTTGTCAAAAACCGCCTCCTATCTCTAATTTTATATGTGCTTATTTGGAAGGGCATTTCTCTCCTCACAATGCCAAGGGGCCAACAGAGAACTAAACAGTTAAGACATGTTTGTGGAAAAGTTTATCCCTGTGAGGGTTCAATAGATAAATACACGTTGGCCAATTATAGTAATTACTAGTAGATGGTTATTTTGTGTAATTACGGGACTGAGGCAAAGCAGTTTCTGAACCCATTTACAGGACGAGCAGTAATGGGTAATGGTTTGGAATTCTGTGGAGGTGACAGGAAAAGCAGCAGACTGGAGGTCAGGAGAGAGAGAGAGCTGGCTTCCTGTGTTTTGTGTACCTAACCAGAGACTCCGGGCAACTTCACTCATCTTTCTAGATGTCCAAGTTCCTAAACTGGGGGAACTAAAGTGGGAGTGGGGTGGGATGGGGTAAGTGGTTGACTAGATAATTAACACATTACTTATACTTTATAAAGCACTTTTATCTATTTTATTTCAGATAAACTCTAGGAGATTGGAAGAAAAATGTATTATGTTACAAATAAAGAAACTGAGCTCGAACAGATTCAAGATCACAGGGCTACCAGGTGGAATTTAGCCATACTGCAACCTTGAGTCTTCAAACTTTGTTTGTGAATGACTGAAATTTTCTTGATTTCAGTAACATTAGGGTTGAAGTCTATGAATTCTAGTTTTTAGATTTCCAGACAGTGCCAAACTAAAGAGCATTAATCATGAGCCACATACATTTCCCCCTTGCTAACTAACTGTTGGCACCTATTACTTTAGGACTTCAATACAAATTTAAGAAATTTCTGGCATGTTTTCATATGCATTTCAAACAAGTTTGCCAATAAAACTTCACACAGTAGCACAATATTGGCTTTCAGGACAACGCTAAACATTTCCAATATATTTTCTTTTTTCCACGTCGAAATAACCCAGAATCATCTTGTACTCCCTCGGATGAAAGCAACCAGGGAGAAGAAACTCCATGTTCTCTGTGCTGCTTTTGTTACTAATTTTCTTCTACAAGCAACACTGTGGGCTTTCTGTGGAAGTACAAGACTTGCAAATCATACAACTGGTGAAACAGCATACAGCTTACACAGCATTTGTAGAGTGACAGCGTCTGAGTAATGGACTTAATGAGCTTAGATGACTGCTGCCCCTCACACCACCATCAATTATTTTATTTATCTTCTTTAGATTTTATTCCGGTATCACTTCCTGAAAAAGCTACTAGCAACTCTATAAAGATTGAAAAAGACATTTCTATCATGTTTCTGAAAAGATATAGATTAAATATAAATATTCTTGAGAAATAATAGGTAGGGCTATAGAGTTTTAACTTTATTATACAAAGACAATGCACATATGTATGAATTCATCTCGTGCATATCAAATCACATATCTATGAGATGAAGCAATATTTCGTTTCTGGAAAGCAAACATATTTTGTACACATATGCACATATAAATACATCCCTCTTAAACTGAGGAATGATGTTTTTATAGGTTTATAGGCAATAATTGTAGCATTTTCCCAAATATTGTACTTTCGGTATCAACACTGTCATTGTTTCAAACTAGAATTTGCTGCATGACATCAACAATAAACAATCCTCCCAAATAGGGAAGGACTTCTCTTCCTGCCAACAGCCAACACCAAAGCCAAGTCATATTCATAATAACTCCTTTTTTTTTTTTTTTAGTTTTTTGTGACAGGGTCTCACTATGTAGTTGAGACTGACCTGGAACTCACTATGTAGTCCAGGCTGGTCTTGAGCTCACAGTGATCCTCCTGCCTCAGCCTCCCGAGTGCTGGGATTACACCTGTGCCACTATCCCCAGCTTTCATTTTTTGAAACATGTTTTGACATGTATGACTCTGAAAAGCTGGGTCACTGCCAAACAGTACCACTTGTGCAGTGCCACTGGAAAAACTGTGGTAACTAACAAGACAAACACTGACTCTGAACAAACTGAGTCCATGCTCACTTGCTCCAGGAAGGAAAGTGCTGCTTTCAGATGAAGCAGGAAAGTTACTTCTTCTTCTTTTTTAAAGATTCCTTCACAGTTAATAAAATGCTTTGTCACAACATAAATTTTGTAGAAGTTACCATGAGAAAAAAAAAGAACCCCGACTTCCTTAGTCCTTGTACCCTAAAGACCTTGATGTACAAATTTGTAGTTTTCTGAACACCAAAATTTTGTTAAAACACAAATATTTAACAACAATAATAACAAAAGTAAAGAGAGTAAAAAGTTTGAGGAGGAAGATAGTAAAGAGGGAAAAAGTAAGAATTCACCATCTATATGGTTAAAGAACAAATAAAAGTAAATTTTTCAGTCAATAAAAATGTTTATATGTTTGTGTTCTCATAAAATTTTTATTTGACTAGTTTATTGGCCAGGTGGGTCCAGCTTATGGGTAGGATCAGCAAGAGATATGGATTACAAATGCCAAGTAATTAATCTGGCAAAATAATAATTAATAGCTCAGTAGAGCACTTGGGGTCCAGGACCACTTGGCTTATTAACTAAGCTAGCTAAAGTAAAAAGCATGACACTGAGTAGCAAAACACAGGGCCAAATCCACACATCTCCCTACCCTGTTTCCTGAGGAGCGGGAGTGATGCTAAAGCAAGAAAAATCCCAAGGCAGCTGGAGTAGACCCTGCAAGAACATATGTTCTGTATTTCCAGGGAGATGCTTGGTTGGCCAGCTGTACCCTGGAAAACCATTTCAGTTGCCTACATTATTCCAAATCTAACAAACAAGTCCCTACAGCAATTATTTCTGGCCACTACCTTCTGGTGGTCATTTCCCTTTATGATAGAAAGGCACAATGGGTCTTTCATTACAGTTACCATGATGCAAAACAAACTGCACGATTAGGAAATTGTCCAAATGTAACAAGATAGGCTTTCCGTAAATTAATGGCTGCTGTCCTTCTAATCCTTCATCTGCTCAGATCCCTCTGAATCATCACTCTCTCTGCACCTGAGCTCACATCCTCAGATTCAGGGGCGCTTATACATTAAATAGCCGCTCAGTTATCTTGTTTCCTTGGTAATTAACAAAGATCTTAAGGGCTAGTGCCAATTCAGTGTCATGGGCTGGATACTCTCCACTACCTGGTAGGTCATTGTTTATGGTCTATTAAGCAGTTTTCATTTGCCCTTATGGGCCCATATAACAACCAAGCTAGAGGCTTCTCAAATTACAAACAGTCTTACAGACTATTAAATAGCCTCTTCTTTGTGTTTAAAAGTCATTTTAAAATTTACTGGAGACAATCTGAGAAGTTAAATGGGACAAGATTTAGGTTTAAAGTTTTCAAATTTTTAATGTTTTTTTCTTCTTCCCTCTAAATCACATCCCCTGTTGCAGAAGATCCACTAACGGCAGTGTTTCTCCTTTTCAAAATGTTATTTTTTCTTGTTCTTATTTATATCTTTTTTTTCCCCAACAAAATAAATTATCATGGTTGTTTCGATTTCTTTTACCAAGAGGAGTTTCTAATTGTCTCAAAGGTTTCTTCTCTTGCTGTAGTCTCACTTCTTATCATTGTTACATACTGAACATCCGTGTTGGCAGCATGCAGAAGTCAGGAGGCTTAGAGGAATCACAGAGGGAAGCTTGGTGGCTGTCAGTCTACCTCACTATACAGGCCTCAGATAGGAAGAGGAAGGGCTGAGCACCCACAAGGCTGTCAGAAATCCACAATACAACAATAGAAAATGAAGGAATGGAAGCAGTCACTTACCTGCTTTTGATCAACAATTATTTCGAGGTCTTCGTCGCAGCTTAGTTTTCCATATCCTTGCTCTTTACTTTTCTTGTGAAAGAATAATTTTAAATGATCATTTAGTTTCTTTCCATTAACAATCTTAATTCTTACTTAACATTTTCAAAAGATACAAATCTTTAGCCTTGTTCACTCGTCATGGTGCCTTCCTTATTCTCCATGACGATCTCTCATGTACAGCAGTAAATGTTTTTATTTTTAAATTACCGGCTTAAAATGATTCATCTTTTTCTGCTTAGATCCCATCATCCAAATAATCTTTTTGTCAATGTTATTATACTTTTTATTTGTTCTGCAGTTCCAGAAAAGATTATTTAACACTTTGAGGTAAATAAGTAACTCTTTAGAATCCTACTGCATTTTTTTAAGGACTAAAAGTTCATTTAGAATTATAGTATCTTAAGGCTGTGACTACACACTATCTTACTTTAATACCTTACTTATGTTTAAGAATAAGAGAAGTATTACACAACTCAAAAATCTTCAGATTGTCAGTATGGTAATTTTTAAAAGAAGATAGACTTCAAAATTAGGTGGTTAAAAACTTAGAAAAATACAGACCAACTTTAAAAATGTACTCTATCAGCACTTTGTTATTACTATTTTTATTATTACTTGTCCCAATGACTGCTCCCCATCCTTTTCTCCCCATAGCAAAATCTGTAATTACAAATTATAGAGTTAGAAAAGGACATTGATCATGGCAATTATTTTATAGTCCTGTTACAGAAGAATAGTAGTGTGTCTGAGTCCTCCCCCACCCCCATGCAACAGCTGACGGGAATACTAGAAATATCATGTTACTTCTTATAACAGTCACAAACAGAAAATAAAAATCACTACAAATTAGCTTCCGTCCAAGTTTAACAAAAACATCCTTGCTTCAGATATTAACCACGGCTACAATTAGGAGAATAATAATATTTCTTACGCTTGAATCAACTGTGCATATTATGATCCCTATTTCATTAGGGAAAGAAAGAGGTATATTCTTCAGCGACCATGATATAAATCTTTCAACTGTGGGACACAATTCTTATCTGCTTTTTTTTACATTTCCAAAACTGAACTTACATATTTCATCTCCCCAGACATATCTTCTATTTTTGTGATTTTTCTACTGTAATACAAAAATTTCTGAATCTTCAAGTATTAGGATGCATAAATAAAATCCAAATTCTCATTCATACATTAATGAACTTAGTCACTTAGAGCAGAACAGATGGCCACACTATTGCTTTCTATTATCATTCTCATCCTCATTTGAGGTTCCATTTCAGGACTGATGGAAAACGAAAGGAACAACGTTGGTTTCAGTCAGGCTGACTTCCTTCCTATAACTTTGCTTTTGTATCCTTTTAGTCCACTGGTTGCTACAAGATAGTGTCGAGACCCCCTAGCGCAAAACATTTAGAAATGCCTTTCCAATATTGATCTGTATACGTACCAAGTAGCTCATTTGCATGACCCGATTTCTGGACCAAAGGACATTAAGTAGAAAAGGAATGTGAGTCCTTCCATCCATTTCACTGTCAGACATCCCAGAATTCTTTGCACCAACAGCAGTGGCTTCATTGCCAGAACTTGCTGACCAGAGAACCACAGATCTTGCCCGACAGCAGTATTAATAATGTACAACAATAACTGAAGTATTCCCGAATCACGGTCTTGACTTTGTAAACACTGTGAAATTTTTGGCTAGCACAAAAGTCTTTGAAATGACAGTTTCTTTTCCTAACGAATTTTTATCCATGCATTTTTTTTTTTTGCTTCTTGACTACTTCTTCGCGCTGTTTTATAAAACTCACCTATTATTTATTACATAATATTTTAAATTTAACCCTTTGCATACAGACTAGTCAGCCTCCTTGGCATAGACTCTCTTAATTTCCCGTTTAACTCACTGCTCCAGACTTTCTTGACAATCACTGCTAATAGATATAATAATGTCAGCACTCACAGAGCGTAATTCAAACTTTCAATTTCTGCCAACATCAAATTCCACCTTTCCAATTTAATCTCAACTCCTTATCTGATTTACTAATAAATTTTCCTGGAAAGAGGCTAGGTCAGGGGAGGAGGTTATGGTCCCCAACTAAATATAAATTGGCATTTTGAAAGAGTGGGAGGAGGCATTTAGAGCTCTGATTTTTGTACTTAAGCCCCCTAGACTCCTAACAGCACACAACAGTACACAGAGGCAGAAAGAAGACTTACTTTAGAAATAAGCAATATTTTCTAGTTTACCCCATAACCCCAGGGGGATTAATCCTCTTCTAAGCCAATAGTCACTCACTTACTGATTATTTCTAGTGCGAGCATAATCCTCTTTCAAGCACTCAGCTGCCCACTTTGACTGTTTAGATCAGCCAGCCCAGGCAGGGATCTTCAGCTTTCCTCCCTCCTCCCAGCCGGGAATCCCTGTCTTCTATCTATGCACTTTTGTCAAGCACAAAAAGCAAGTCCAGAGCTTCTTCGTTGCCTTTCATATTAGCCAAAGGACTGAACTAGAAGGAAGAAGAAAGCTACTCTCTGCACTGTCCAAGTGTGAGGGGGCAGGGCTTCTGTGGGAGGGGAAGCCAGAGAGTAATCACTTCCTGCGCTCCTCCCACCGCCCTGGCCGGACACTGGAGCTGAGAATTTCAACTGAGTCAAAGAGGTTAGATCTCTCTCCGTCCCATCTTTAGCACACTGCCTGCTCAAGGCTGATTTTATGCACAGTTCCTTAAGTGCAGCTGAGGGGGAAGCGTTTGTGCAAGAGAGCTACCGTGGTGAGCACTTTATGGTGGGAGCAGGGCAGGAGAAAGAAAACAGTCATCATTTGCTGACTATGCCTCGCTCCCCGTTAAGAAGCTTTCAGCTCAAGATAGCTGGCCAAGCTCTGAAACTCCTAACAGTTATCTCCCATTTTCTGACACTATTCTTATTTTTTCCTAGCTAATCAGAAAGAGAACTATCTAGTTCTTTGTTAGTATTGGTAACTTTAAATACTATTCAGTTAGATCTGTAGTTCTTAAGAAAATCGAGCTTACCCTGTAACTTTTGCTCTGTACAGACTTCTGCTTCTCTTCTTAACCCCATCCACCTCCTGCTGCCTGCCCCATCTTTCTTTCCCCCACTTAAGTAGAGTAGAAAAGTGGGTTTATTCATTTGGAATAAATAAATTATTATACTTGGGAACTATATAGGAAAAACCATGTCATGGCTTCAGATATAGAATGTTTTACTTAGGAAAATTTAGCAAGGAGGTTAACAGCAACAAAATCTGATGGCATAGAGACCTAAGAAATGAGATAATGTGTTCATTTCAGAATGTGAGCCTAGGATTTAATTGAAATGGACTAGTTTCACATGAATTGAATTCAAAGGATTCCTCATACTCACTAAGAATGGAATATACATGAAAGAAATTTTGAAAGGAAAGAAATGCTTGATTTCGGCAATCATACAAACAAGCCCCAATTGCAATTTTTGCCTAGCTACAGATATCAAAATAAATGTAAAGGTTGAAGATTGTATATAAATATGTCAAAAGTTTATTATTATTTATTCACTGTTTCAATGAAGGTATATATTAGACTTGAATTTATTAAAACAAGTGTCATACACATTTGTATGAATATATAATACATATTTGTATGAATATATAAGTCTATCTATAAAGGAAAGTCCTTCATACTGTCTTCATAGTTTTCAGAATTCACTTCCTATCTTATTTTCCTGACCTTAAATTTCTCCTCCAAATACTTTCCTTCCCACAGCCTGAAAACTTGCTTAGTGATTTCCTCTGGCCTGGGTCTCCCTAAAGACTATTCTCTCTCTTCTCTCCTCACTGTTAAACTTGAAAGAATGGCTACACTAGTTGCTCACTAGTAACAGTTCCTTACTTTCTTTCCCTTTTTAAACCAACCACAATCAGGAACCATTACTAAATGCTCCAGCCCGCTTTCCTTAGAACAAATTGAGTAGAGCATCCGTCAGAAGGCAGAGGACTGGGAAAGAAGAGAACATGCTGACAGGGTACTTGTTGAGGCTGTGGTGCCTTTGGAAAACTCATCCAAGTGGAAACATACAGTCAGCCACTGGGATACATGGGTCTATATTACAAAAAGAGCTGAGGGCAGGGCACATGGATTGCTGGGGATGATTAGAATTGTAGAAGTGAAGGAGGTTAATAAAGAAGCAAATGTAGAGACCTAAGAGATGAGGACTCACGTCAGAGTCCTGGAGAATGGTTGCATTTAAAGAATGAGCAAAAGAAAAGAACTCAGTAAAGGACGAGTAAAGGAATGGTCAGAAGTGAGGAAAGCAAACCAATAGGATACAATCAAAGGAAAAAGACTTTTAACTAGTGTCAAATGCTGACAAGAGGTTAAGTGTATAAACAGTGACTTTTTCGTGTTTGGCACTGAAAGTCATGAATGACTGGGGCAGGAGTGGTGAAGACACAAGCCAGATTAGATTATCAACTGTGTTGATAAGAGAGAATGAAAGTAGCCAGAAAACACTTATTTTTCCCTTAGCAAAGCTTCAATGAAAAGAGGAGCAAAAATGCTAGCTGAAAGATAAAGGATATGGGTGAAAATACTGGGCAAGTATTAGTTTTTTCCCTTCTTCCTTATGTAAAGGTCTTGAGTATGTTTATATTTTAAGAAGAAACTAGTTTTTGTGTTCCAAATCCCCAAAAAGAATGCAAACATTATGTATTGCAAATATGTACAAAAAAAGAGAGAGAGAAAGAATCAAAAGATGAGTGGAAGGGGAAAAGGAAGTGAAAGGAAGTGGAAAAAGAATCAGGGTGTATTATGGATATATAGAGATTTCTTAGAAGAAATGTAAACATTACGTACTACAAACATTTATTAATAAAAAAATGAAAAATAGAAGCCATAGAATAAGAAAAAATAATTCACAAAGCATCAGACTAAGAGCATGGACACTTTGTAAAAAAACTTTGTAAAAAATTATAATTATGTGGTGTATCTTTGTAGAAAAAATCTAGAAAGGTATATTCTAAATACCTAATGTTTTTCTTTGGGAGAAGAGATTATACATAAATGATATCTTTTTCTTTATACATGGAAGTACTTTTTGAAACAAAAGTAAATTTCTTTCATAATTAAAAAGGGACACAAAAATATGATTGCTTAAGAGAACCATAAAACTGCCATAGGAAAGACTCATTTAGGGCCGGGGATTTAGCTCATTAGTCCTGGTGCCTGCTTTGCAAGCACTAAGGACCTGAGTTTGAACCCTGGTACAAAAAAAAAAAAAAGGCTCCTTGAAAGACTACTTTGTAGAAAAGTAAATCGGATGAGGGTTTTACCCTTGCTTTATTATTTTTCTGGGAATAAAGTGATTTTTTTAAATGTAGAGATTCATGATGTAGTTATTGCTTATGTCCCTGGTGGCAAGTATGGTGGAATAGTGTAGCGAATGTTTTGCATATTGTATTTAATATGCCCCATTTCCTCTTGACTCTCCCTTGTGATCAAACGCCTCAGTTCTTTGACAGCGTTTTGGTCCCACATCCCTTATTTTTTTCAAGATCCAGTGTCACAAGCACCACTGCTGTGAGAGCCAAAGAAACATGGGAAAGAGACAACAGGAAGTGAAGAGAAGGATGTGTTTCCAAATGGCCTGGAAGAAGAGTTAAAAAGATAATTATAAAATCTCTGCTTTTTCTTATATGTGGGGAAAACCAACTTTCTGAAGGGTAAATATCATTGTTTCTGAGACTCATTGGCAGAAAAGTTTGTTAAATCTGGCTTAAAAAAAATTATGGGCTGGGGATTTGGCTCAGTGGATCCACTGCCTGCCTCGCAAGTGCAAGAGCCTGAGTTTGATTCCCAGTACCAAAAACAAAAGCATATTTTTCTTTTTAAAAGACACACACACACACACACATCCCACCCCACCATGTATTCATACCATGATAAAACACAAAAGCCCCAGGGTTTAATCTTTGGTGTTGGGTCAACCCTGAAAAAACAAAATATACAGTAAACAAACAGTTCTAAAAGTGCATTGTTAGGTGAAAGGAAATTAAAGACAACAAATATGTTGTACCATTAAACTACATGTTAAAGCACTTGTATAACTCTAGGAATGTAGTATTTTTTGAGACAATTTAATTGTGTAAATAGATATTCCAGTTCTTTACTAGTTGGGTAATGAAATGATAGTGGTGCATAATATAAGTTTTACATTGTGCCATAGTGCCAGCCTTTTCATCTTCAAGGTGAGTCTTAGTCTACAAGACAATAAATAACCTAAAAATGTATAAAGATTCTTAAAATATTTGTAATTTTTAAAAGTTTTTCAATGATAAGAATTATTTAACACCATTATCTCTTCAGATCCCTCAATCTCATGCTATTTTGCAATGACACTTTCTTAAATATACAAATTCACTTTTGCGCATGGACCTTCTTATATATCTTTTCCAGCATTTTATCATGAAAAACTTCAAACATACTGAAAACTTGAAATAATTTTATTGTGTGACTCTGTAATACCACCTATAGTCTACCACTAGCATTTTATTACACAGTACTTGCTTTTTTCTTCTCTATCCCTCTATCTGTTGAGATATATTTTTGAACTATAGTTCACACTGTCACATTTCTGCACCTTCTTTCCTTCAAGGTTTTATTTAATTTGACAAACTCAAGAAAGGAAAATCATTGCTTTGATAAGCTCTCAAAACAAGTTCACATATTCTGTACACTTAAATGTTCAGGACCTGTTCTTTTATTTGAAAAGCAAATTAGTGAACTATATTTCAAGCAGTAACTCCAAGTGATAGGTGCTATTACTAGGATTAGGGAAGAGGATTTCTGATCAAAGGGCTGGGATTTTTATAGGTCTTAGTCAAAAGCAAATATCTAACTATTCAACTCTTGGAGACAAATCCATGGTGAAATAGGCTGTTTTGAGTTGATATTAATTACCATGTCCTCACTTTTATATCCTTTGATCATAAATATCTTTTGCATATAAGAAAAACAACAACTTCACTTTACTGTGGGTTACATTGTAACTATTTCCCTATGCACACAGCAAACATGTAGCCAGGCTCAGGACAATATCGGGATAAATAGTAGCTACTCAGAGGGGTCTCAGTGGCTTTAAGGAACAGTACTTGGGTGGCATAGTGAGACCAAGTAGGCAGAGAACAAAACTTAGACTTGAAATTTCAATTATGGCAGATTCAGCAATGTTCTACATCTTCCATGGAACAATAAATAAACTCTTGACCCTCCCTCACCCTCAAAGCCAAACAAAACACATTCAAAGAAAAAAAAAAAGCAAAAACAATCTTTTTCACAGAAAATTCTGAGACCAATTTTTCTTTAATCTGGAAGGTTCTTTCTATACAAAGCACATTTTCCCGCTCCCTCTAGATTTGGTTTTACTAGATTCTGTAAATGCAGTAATATGGCATGTGATGGCTGACACATAATTTTTTTTGCCTGAAGACATTAATAATGCAAAGTTATGTATTTTAACCTGGGAGGTTCTTGGCATTATATAGTCTTGGTGCTATTTTCAAGGCAATATGAAACTAACAAGCACTCCCATCTGGTGGTTTTACACCTGCTGTCATCCACAGAACAGGACTGGGTTGGCTATCGGTGTAAGAGAATAAGGAGTTGACAGGATGGACTTCGTACTCTGGATTCCTAAATGGGAAGTGCACAAGATCACATTAAAATAACCCCACACTGGCCATGAAGAAAAGGGCAGACCATACATCCTATATTTTTGCAGGCTGAGAACAAGAAATAATCTATTCAAAACAAAAACTTATTGATTGGTGTTCTGCTTCAAAATCATTGTTGAGGTTATTTTTTATTCTTATTTGCATTGGCCCTGTTGGGTGGGGGAGGAAATTTTGTAATCTCAAGGCCAGGTGCATTATGATTGACTTCTCCTGTGGCTCGGTCTCCTTCTCACTGGCAGTCAGCGCACCTGCTTTCCCACACCTGCTGCTGACTTAAAACAAAAACAAACAAACAAAAAAATCCCCAGACAACTGATCTGTATATCATGCATTATGACTTTATGTCTTTGTTAAGTAAAATTGGAATCTTTGTAGTTTAGTAAAGTCAAACCCTAGCTGCTTCTCTAAGCATTTCGTATATCAAAAGCGTTATTTCTCTATTTTCATACTTTCTGTAAGCCAGCACATGTTTTTGACAGGTTGAGACATAAATTTTGTTTCTGACAAGAGCCAACCCAAAGTTGGTACTTCATCTATAAAAATGCATGCAGAAAGTGAAAGTTATTTACCTTTAAGCTCCATTTATGTGTCTGACAACCCATATTTCTATTATGGCTCAAGTGACTTTTGAGTACTATTATTTTTTAAGATTACATATGGATTTGTGCATAGACACAACAGCTTAGAATAAATCTTGTCTGCTCCTGAAAGGGAAAACATTTTTCTGGAGGTGTAAGTCACTGCTCTACCTTCTGAGCTCTCTCATGTCCTTGAGAACTGTAGGCATCATAACTCAACACCTCAGTTCTTACCACTTCTCCATCCATCTCTCTGTGGCCTCTTTGTTCATTCCTTTACTTTAATAGTTTATAAATTCACGATTGTCAAAAGCATGGGCAAGTCTGAGTTGCTCTCCATCGTTATGAATAAGGGTTTCTGGGATAGTATTAGAGGAAGTTTTTCCCACTCACATGGTGTGTAAGGACAAAAATGATCTGGGGCCATCGACAGTTTATCTACTGGGCATGTGATAATGAGCTCGTATGTTAAAACTGAGTCCAGAAAACACCTAGTCAATTACAAATGGTTGATACTCCATCACATAAACTAACAGCTTGCTTGATATAGGAAGTATTATTGCTAATGAGTGGAAATGTGGTCCTGTAGTTTATAAAGAAATGCAAAGTTGAGTGATTTATGTAAAGTAAACCACCAGCCAAGTTTAAACATTCTGTGAATCTTTGGCCCAACACAAAAGGAATTTGATGTGTAGAAATAGTGTTTTTGAGTCATAAAGGCAAGATTAGCTTGAGAAAATGCAAGATAAGGTGTATCCTAGTGTCAGACATTCAAATAGCTGATGAATTTATTTAGGCAAAGTTACTTTAGTATGGAACAAAAGATGCCTCGCATTGACATGTAATCATGTTTTTATAACTAAAGATGCCAGTATGGTCAAGGGTTACATCACCAAAATGTAATAGAGTGGATGACCTTTGACATTTTGAGTAAATATGACTTCCATTACTAGAAAAAATAAGTACTAATGGGTTCAAATATGTTTGTTGTTTTGTTACTTTGTTGACTTTCATAGGCGCTTCCATATGAGTAAATCAGCTGATAAAGAAACGTTCTTCAAAAAACAAACAAGCACTCCTTGATTTGATAATCAAATGAGGGACGCATGGCAAACTTTTTGAATATGGTAATTTCATTTTTCCTTGATACAAGTAAGAGTATGTTTATTTTATTCTTTAAACATTTTATATTTTAAAGTAAACTATATTACTGAATTTTTATTTTAATATAGTCTATAGATTTAAAATATTTTTCATAAAATATTTTGATAAGTTATTTGTCATAAAAGAAATTTAGGTCTCGTGTATATGGCTGTAATGTGACAAATCTTGCTATATTTTGGTATAGTTTATTGCTACATTGTAAGTTTCTTAAGGTCAGGGACTACATTGCTCATTCATTCTGTAGGTATTTTTGACTACTTACAATGACTTTGTTAAATTCCAAGTCTTTGGACCGCACAAAGCTAGTGCCGCAGGCCTACTGGGAAGAGAGGTAACTAGACAAGCCATCATGAAAGTGTGAGGTGCCCACAGCAAAGAACAGGGCTGTGAAGGATGTAGTAGGACTTTGCCTGGGGTTAAGGCCAGGGAAGGTCTTGTTGAAGAGGTGCTGGGATGTGAACGATGAATAGGAGCTGTGCAGAGTGCGTGGACTGGGCGGGGCAGACATGCAGAAGAGCTACATAGAGGAAAGGTAGGTGTTGGGGAGGCCTTCTAGAGTCTGAGAGTGGGGATGTGGAGGTGGAGCAGAGTGGAGGTTTAAGAAAGTGATGATGCAAGAGGAGGCTGGAGAGGAAGGCAGAGACTTAGGAATCACATGAGGAGTCTGCTATTGAGCTCAAGGGCAGAGTGGAGACATTGCAGGTTTCAGCCAAAGAGTGACATTATGAGACCGGTGCTTTAAGAAGCCCTCTCCAGTTAAGGGTGGGAAATGAGCTGGAGGAAAGAAGGCCGGAGGCCAGGAGAGCAGCTCAGAGTCACTGAAGTGGTCCGTGCACAGCAGCCAGGAGCCTGGGAAGGCACAAGTTGACGGAGACAGCTGGCCACACACCAACTGCGTAATGACATGCTTAATTCATCACTGGGTATCATGCAACGTCTTTTTAAATATTGGTTTCTATAAAGAGATAGAAACATCTGTAATTTCTGAGGTCTAGAATTAAATTTGCAACAAATGGGCCTACAGTAAACATATTGCTAAGAACTAACTTAACTTCATCGTATATAAAATTATTAATTATTTCAGGAGAAACTTAATGAAATCAGAGAGGGAGAGAGACAGAGAAAGAGCTCTAGCAGAATAAAATCATATTTAGTGAAAGATATATATTTTTGTACTAAGTCCGAAGCAATATCTAAACTTTTTTTGTTGTTTTTGCTCTTTGACAAAACAAAATGAGTCTGTTCTCAAACATACAATGTGAAATTGTTCAGTGCTGTGGAACATAGAGAAGGAGTTATTGTGGTCTTTGAATGCCAACAAAAGGAATTCTTTATGGAAATCTACAAACTGAACTGAGCAGAGAGTGGAAAATGTTGAAAAGAAATGTATTTACTTAAGTGCGTTTGCCATATTATCAAACCTAATATGTTTTTAAAAGCACGGAGATGGCACATTTAGGGCTGGCTGTTGTGGGTGTGTTTAAAGAACCAAGTGGTTGCTTCCATTGTACTTTACTTATTGTTGTCTTGTCATAGGATAAAATTTCATAAAGGAGGAGCCTGAGTAAGGTAAGGTGGAGCAAGGGAGAGCTGACTATAACATTCACCTTCTCAGTTAAATTTGAGGAGCCTTACTTCTTAGGAGGCACTTTTTATTAATCTTAGGAAATAATTACAGGTTACATGAGTGATATTGAAGGACACCGTCTACTTGTAAGCACATCTCACAGCTACAGAACAGTCGCAGCATCACACTGAGTGTGGATGATTACTGACAATCCTCCACTCATGATCCCAGGCTTTGTTCCCACCCACTTTTTTTTCCTCTTTAGGAATCAATTCCAAATTGCAGATGCTTCTCTTACTGAGATGTTTACCAAATTTTAAAAGAGCAATCAGAAAAACTCCTTGAACAATAGAGAGAAGAAAAATTTTGGTGATTAAGATCATGAAGCTCAGAAGACTCCTCTTGCAATATCAGATTAATGCCCCAAAGTGATCAACAAGTTCCTAACGTAGCACAGAGAGACAGCAGAATGGCTGCTACTCACTGCAAATGCATCGCTGGAAGTAAATGTGGACTTTAACAAAAAGTCTTTTAAAAATTCCTGCTCTCTTGTGAAACGATCCTGTGTGAGTGAGGGTGGGGGTTTCAGGAGACATGAAACAAGGCTGAAATAAGGAACAGGTTAGATAGCATCATGCCTCAAGTAGGAAAACGTTTTTAATAATTCTAACGTATTACCTTCTCCTTAAAATAAACTCTAAGTGTGCCTGTCGCTTTATAGGTGCTCAATAAATGGTTTTTAAGAAAAAAATTCCTTTATAACAAAAAGTGTTATCTCTTTTAGCCTCTTTTACTGATCCTTCATAATATTACAAAGAAAAGTTACATATAACTGCTTTCAAATTACAGTGTTTGTACTCAGACACATATATGTACTTAAAAAGTTGTATATGCATATGTTAATACATGCATATGCATTTAGAACATGTAATTGTAGTATAAATAATAACTTACTCTTTGTACTCCACAATATATTGTGAATAACCTTTTCATGTCAATACTCATCCATAACTCACCCAAATTTACCTGACACTAACAGTTTTTATTAAGAAAGTTTAGGAAATCCTAAAAAACATCAGAATGAAGAACCCACTTAATATCAAGGGATAATAATAGTACATAAATATTGTCTGCAGAGCTTTTGTAGTTCCTAAGAACATTTCAGGGGACTGAGGAACTGAAAATTTTTTGTAATAGCACTATGATATTGCTTGTCTTTTCACCATGATGATATTTGCACAGGTGGTATAAAAAGCAATGTTGGCTAAACTGTTGGTACAAATCAAGGTGGTGACACCAAACTGTACTAGTTGGGAACTGAAGTAGACATCTGAAAATAATATATCATCATTTGTACTTGACAGGGCAGCTGGTATATGAACTATATTTACTTACACAAGAATCTGACATGTTTTCTCCTGAAAACAGATGAAAAGAGCTGTCCATCTCAAAGACAAAATTCAGGCTTTTAACAGAAATTAGAATTTGGGAAAATTTGTATCTGACATTGATGGTTTCTTTCCAGTGAGATCAGAGATGATATTAATGAAGTATTTTTTGATATTGCATAACAAAGCATGGCAATATTGGAAGATATGAACCAATATTTTCCAAATAACTGAATATAGACCGTGTTACCAAAAATCACACACGAGTTAAAAAGATTCACTCAAAATGTAAGGCAAAACAATGGATTTTAACATGAAAACTACACAAGGGTCATTGTCAAGACTTCAGATTTCACTTTGCTATTAAACTTTAATAATATTTGCTAGTTTTGATATAGTATCAAAGAATATCCACAATTATTTGAAAAAGGCTACTAAAGTGCTTTTTCAAATGTAAGTTTGTGTTAAGATGAATTTTTCTTTTCATATTTCAAAGGAAAAAAGCCTACAGCAACAGATTAAATGCAGAGGCAGATATGGTAATCAAATTTTTTCCTATTAAGCTTTTATATTAAAGAGATTTTGCAAAAATGTAAAGCAGTGCCAAGCTTCTCACTGGGATTTTTTGGAAAATTGTGCTTTTTTTCAGAACAAAAACTTTGCTTGTGTTAATACACAATGAGTTCGTTATTGCTAGTTTTCAATGAACTACTTTGAAAAATGTTAATTTTTTGTTTTCTAATAGTAAATACAGACAGATATAATCCACATAAACAAGAGCTCTTTGGAATCTTTAATGTTTTTAGGGTAACTAAGTGTTTGAAACCACTGCTATCTAGAAATAATGCAAACTTTTCCTAAGGTGGTAGAAAAACAGCTTTTGAAAATTAGCCCTTCTTTTCTCTCCTCCTAGAAATGATAAAGTCAATTTATTTCATTTAGATTGAACAATTCTATAATAGGCCAGGTCAAAAATTATCCATTTTAACTTATAATAAATAGCTTTATATTATTTAGTGTATGTTTGAATTAATGTTTAATGATAATAGCTTTAAAGTTTGGGAACACTTTAATTATCACAGGCAATTCCATAAAGGTAGGTGTCAAACTCCTCAATTACAGCCGAAGAAATGGATTCCCAGAGAAAAAAAGTACTTTACCCGTCTAGAAAATGCTAGAACACAGAATCAAATTAGGTCTGTTGATTATGTTTTTGTACTCTTCTTTCATCTTTGGGTGGAAAACAATGAGCTTTTTGGTTATCATCAAGATAGAGAATGCAGTTCAGCTATTGATTAGATGCAAAGGCTGGTACTGAGATCCTGTTTGGATTTAGGCATTTAGCTCTTGACTTCTGCTAAGCCATTAGTATATAAGAAGTGTGGGGAACAATATATTCCAAGACATTTTAAAGTAGTGCTTTGTGTATAATAATAGTCTTTATCGTTATTACTTTTTCTTCTTATCATAGCAATGTAATCCTGCGCATGGCCAGAGTAGCTATGCTTTCACCCAACTCTGAGGTCAAATATGAAAGTGCTCAGTCAATAAGACAGAAGTAGATGAATGGCATATGAAAAATCTCAGAACAAAGGCAGGGCTGGACAACAAGAGATGCAGACTCTTCCAGGCTGGGAGCCAAAGGTCATTCTATATATAGTGCTAACCTACACCTCAGCTCTGTGTTCATAGTTAGAGGTGACCATGTAGGTCGACGATGCATCACCCTTCTGCTTTCATCAGTTGGCCCAAATCAGCTTTTAATGGCTGCTACCTATAATGACTTCTTCTCTGGCCCTACTCAAGCCACATAAAAAGTCTTGAAAATCCGGACAAGATCGTACAATCTCAGCTCAAAGCCTTCTTCCCATTTTTTCCTAGTGAGTCCCACTGGCTTTGCAGATGGCTGGACGTTTTCTCTGCCTGGCCCCTTCAGAATGACAGCACCATTTGGATGACTCGCTCGCACTAGATGAGGCCTTTCTACTTCACCTTGGTTCCACTCAGTTGCACATAAGGCAACCTGCTGCTGGTCCAGGTTTTGGGACCCATTTGTAGCAGCAGAAAGATTCAGCACTAGGAGGAAAGGAGACCCACAGTGTGAAAGCATCGAGCCAGGTTTCCTGGAGGCCTGCACAGGAGCTATGCTGGGAATCAGGGGAGAAGTTTTGGCAGATAAGGGAAGAAAGATATATGCTGGACAAAGACTTTACATATTTCATAATATTTAACTCTCCCAATAATACCAAGAGTTTGTTTACATTTTTCTTGGTTTTCAAATAAGTAAAGAGGAAAAATCCTAACAGTCTGTGCTTTTTTTAAAGGGTTATATCCATAGTGAAATAATCTATGTGACAGAACAGAATTAGCACCAGAGGTCTCCCGACCTCAAAAGTTGAATTATTTTCAGTCCAAGTCCCTAATTCCAGCATATTTCCATTTGAAAGTTGGCATGACATAACAAAAAATTGATTAACAAAAACAAGGGAAAAAAGTCAACCATCCTTAAATACTTTTTTAGATGTAAATATCTAATTTGGAGACTCAGTGCATCAGTATGAGGTCAGCTCCTAAAGTCAGATGCTTGGTTCAAAGTCAACTCTAGCTTTTTGCTGCCCAGTTGAGCTAATTAAGCTCTTGAGCTCTATGTTTACTCATACAAGAACAACAGCAGAACCTGTCTTCTTGAGTTGTTGGGGAAAAAATTTAAATACATGCGAAGTGCTTAGAATAGTACTTGACACATTTACTAACACTCAGTAAATATTATTAGTTGGTGTCCTTCCTTCTCTGGTTCCCTCCGTCCCTCCCTCTCTCTTTCCCTTCCACTCTCAATCTTTCTAGCAAGTTGAGTTGACAGTGTGCATAACCAATAAACAATCTCTCTAGCAAGATGGCAAGACTCACCAAAGATGGCTCAGAAACTCAATTGTGAAGTTTAAAGAGAAAAGATTACTGGGATTTAAAAATAGAATGTGGTGAGAAGCAATCTTGCTGTGTCAACTTTTAGAATGCTGTACTGAGAAAACCCAGCGGAGCTTTATTTTAAGAAGACCCTGAATGGCTTTGCTGCAGTACATGGATTTATCTGAGCATCCCCTTGATGGTTTGCTTTCTTGTGAGCCTAAAACCAAGCACCATGAAGAGTTCTGGTCTCCTCAAGCCTCCTACCTTCAACCTTACACAAAGTCCACCAAACCAGACTCGTGTGCAGCTGTCAAATAAATGGAGCGGAACCCCAGCTGGGAGCCTCGGTTGCTGCCTCTTTTGAAGTTCCCCTCTTTGTTAAACCTTCTTTGAACACAAACTGAATTTTTTTATACTGTATTTCAGGCATGGTGAAAAATATTAAGGATACAAAATAAGCCACAGATGATGGATTTGGAAAGTAGGTAGCGAAGAAGTTTGGTCTGTGTTACTGTCTGGGTTCTAGCCCTGTGTTTTTTTTTAAATCACTTTTTTATTATGGACTTGTTATTTCCACTCTTTTCAGCTCAGTTCTCAAATGTGTGAGGGCTTATACTGGATGAGTTTCAACACTGCTAATTCTTTGATTTCTTTTTTAACTGTCAGGAAGTCAGTTAATTAGCAATTTTGTAGTGATTAAGAAAGAATACCATTATTAGTTAAAGCAAGAAGCTAACTTTGATAAAACATTTAAATGCGTATATCATTAATTCAAATACTGAGGAGGATTTAGTGTCTTCTTTAGGCTGCTGCGACACTTTCCCCATTTTTGTGAAACTAAATATTTTTTTTAACCAACCGAAACAGCAAGACACCTAAATCTTTATGCTAGCACAATAAATAGAAGTAGGTGAATATGGATGTAGAAATGTGTTTCACAAGAAAGACTATGCTGATGCTGAATTGTTTTTAGGTGTATTAATTCCTTCAGTAATAGGAATCAGGCAATAAAGTGTAGAATTCAAGAAATGAAGTGAAAAATGAAGACACAATGCAATTAGGGGATGTCAGGTAACCAGCCTGCAAGAAGGTTTAAGCAAAAAGATTATTCAGCAAGTTGGTGATTATATAGAAATTATCTTGGATATATATTCCTAAATACTATTTTAGAAGATTCTTTACTGAAAAATTAGTAAAATGCCATTACTAAGTTAAAATTTTAAGGCTCAAGAATGTATATATATAGTCACAAACATCGGGGACAGACTTGGCATGTATTGTCTAGCACTGGAATTCACTTGAATGTTCTTGTCCTTGTCATCCAATCTTTCCTTTCATTACTGAATTTCTAACACATCTCAGTAATTGTTAAATGTTCAGGAGACACGGAGAGGAATTAGGCCAGTACTCTGTTCTCCAGAGTCTTTCATCTCCAGAGGAAACTTTTCAAAAATTTCCCATTCCACTATATTGTGAAGAGATTGTCAACAGTTATTTTAGAATTGTTCATGGTAGTTGGGATCTTTTAAAGATGTAGTCAAATAGATTTTAAATGTGTTACTAAATAGGTATTTTTGATTGAGAATGTCATCATGCAAGGTTTAAATAAACTTCTACTCTTAGAAGTGATACTTAGATTTGTATACTGCATGCAGTATAAAAATGTTATAAAGTTTACATTAGAATAGCATGTTAGTGTTTGCTAAGTTATTAATCCATTTAATGCTTGAGCATGTACAGCCATTTTACTTTCATAATAATTCCATGGGGTAATAATAGTGGCTAACATTTATTATCTATGATGAAGACAGGCATATTCTAAGTATTTTGCATACACGAGAACTTTATTATTTTCATGGTACAGATGAAGATGTTGATGAAAAAAAAGTGTCCAGGAAGATCCAGAGTTTAATTAAATACAAATGCTCAGGTTCCGTTTCTAGAGATCCTAATACAATTGGTCTGGGGTAGGTTTGGACACCAGTATTTCTTTTGAAAAGTAATTATTTTCACAAAACTCCTCAGGTGATTCACTAAAGATTGAAAATTACATGGCCAAAGCTAGTGCCCCTTAGATGAGCAGTAGTTTATAATCAAAACAATTACATTTCCGACTACTGTAGGAAAAGATTAAATCTCGGGAAATGTAGAAAGTCTAGAGACCTCATAAAATCCCAGTCTACTATATTAAGACATTGCCTGAATTACGCAGGGCAGATTTATCAATGTCTGTGGTAGAGGTGAAGACAGCAAAAAAGGGAGCATGTAGGCCCTTGGAGTACTGTATGTTCTTAGTCTTAACTGCTCCCTGCATATAACAGCAGCTTGATAAAGTACAAACTGATGCACTGAGATCCCTTTTGGCACAATTTCCTAAATATGGGATGTGCAGTTGGAGAGTTCTCCCATCTGTTGTGCCATGGGGGTGGTTAAGCGTACTGGTCCACTTAGTGGACAGATTAGTATCACTCCAAGTCATTTGTAGGCCTGGGTGGGGTAAAGCCAAATCATGTGGGTAGATCAGAACGTTGGAGCCCGGAAGTGTGGGTGGCATGCCAAAACCGGGTTCCATATCTGCAAAGTGCTCCAGAGAGCACACACAGAGGTAGAAATCATCAGACAGATCCAACGGGGTAAATGGGCAGGCATGGTTAGAGATTCAGGATTCACGTGCAGGGGTAGCCAATATTTCTTGGACTAAGATGATTCTTGTCTATTTCTCATTTGAAGGACTGTGGCCAGTTTTCAAACTTTTGCCCTTGCTCACTTGAGAACAGTGTTCTTAAATCCAGGCCATTCATTTTCTTCCTTGTTTTGGTTATAATTTGAGAGCTTACCTGGATTACATATCATGGTAGTGTATTTGGACAGACCAATGTGCCAGAAACCAGCTTAGTTGATAGAGGGCTAAGCAATATCTTTGAATTTCTTTACCTTAAACTGTATAGATGAACCTACTATATGAGAGCAGCAGCACCGTGGGTGCCCCTTTCTCAGGGGCCATGTAGGTAGAGCTTTTTTAATCCAAAGCCATCATACAATCCATAAATAATATGTCCTCCCTATCACAAGAAATGAAACGCTTTGAACTTTTGAGTCCTGCTATTCTAATATTGCAGCACTTGCTATGAACTGAGACTCAAAAATCTTCATATAAATACAGTTTTTAATGAAGTCATTCTGGCATTAAAAACTCAATATATGAAGCCTGGTATCACAAAGGTGTTCTTTGTCATATATAGGAATGTATAGTTGCTTTATATAAATAACCACCACAGTCTACTAGGACAGCACACTAACAGTAATACGGGACTGTCTCTTCTCATCATTGGATATTTTGAATAGAGCTCCTGTATTTATGTAGAACTTTTTGAGAAATTTTCAACTTTTCATTTATAGATTCACATGTTATGTAGGAATCTATTATGAAGTAGATGTGGGGAGAGATACATACTCACTCTTTTATTCTTAGTGGAGATTAACTAAAATGCAGATATATTAGATAGCTAGTACACAAAATTTAACAAGCTATGTTATGCCTACTAGTAGTATATTTCTTTAATAATATACTTGATGAAAAGGGCTAAAGGTGTAGGTGAAATAGGAAGGGTAGGGGAAAGGTAATAAGGGAAAAGAAAAAAAACATGAGAAAATGAAAAAACGGAAATAAAGTATTTGTAAATAAGGAAGGGAGGAGGGGGTGAAGGGAGGGCAGGGGTATGGGGAAAAAAATGAGAACCAAGACCTGTCATGTAAAGGTACAAGATGTCAATGATGAATGTAACTGTAGTGTATTCCTAAAATGTACCAATAACTCAATGAGATAAATAAAATACACTTGATGTATTTATAATTAGTAATCATACTATTTTCGTCACTTATTAACTTTGCTTGTGTATTAGATCATGAAAATAATTCACCAAGAATAGTAGTTCTTCCATTGAACTTTAGCACAATTATTCCATAAATATTGCTTGTAAAAAAGAGGTCATGTAAATAGGGAGGTGTTTAGGGGGTGATGGGAGGGGAGGGGTATGGGGAAAAAATAAGAACCAAGATATATCATGTAACAAGATCCCAATGTTGAATGTAACTGTACTGTATACCTAAAATGTGCCAATAAATTCAATAAAAAACCCCAAAACAAAATGAAACAGAAGTCACTCAAAAAAGTTGCACTAAATATCAAACCTAGCTGTTTTCACATTATATTTCAGTTCAAATGTTAAAACTGTGATTCATATGTCAATAAAGACACCTTGAAGTTAAGGATATGTTGTTTGATATTATAAAATGACATTTGTATTTTGCCACTTTTCAATCCACCCTATCCTGTTTTTTTTCCAACATTTGCATGGCTGGTATTTATTATAGTATTAAATGTGGCACAAAGATGAGCTAAAAAATTATATATAGGTACAGTGGATAGTGCTTTGTTGTTAGAAAAGTCAAGATATCTGTTTTAGTGCTGTCATTGCCAAGTTAATACAATTTGACCTTGGTTATGCAACACTTTTGAACCTTGGCTTTGTTATGTGAAAAATAAGTGGATTAGATGAGATTATTTCTAGTGTTTTTCAGCACCATCATTCTATGTACCCTTATAAAATAATGTTTCTTTTTGTATTTAAAAATCTCATATAGATTCTATTATCCATCACTTTTAATAGGGAAAATATCTTGGCCCATCTCTTTCTTCTATATCCCCCCCATTTTAAACTTTTTTGATTCTTTTAGTTCTTATTTTTCATCATATGTTTTGTCATTCTGACACTTTTGCTGTTGATTAATAGTAACAGTAATTTATGGAGGATTTATTTGTTCCAGGAACATAGCTCAGCATTTTACTTCCATTATTTCATTTAAATACTCTTATCACTTCTATTTTATTGATGAGGAAACTAAGACATAAACAGTACTAGAACATTTCCATTAGTTCATTTTGCTAGTCAGTTTGCGAGGATAATGCGAGCCATTTATATAACTCCTATGCCTCAGCATTAATAATCCCATAATGTTCCTAATGGATAAAGTGTGTGTGTCCATGACCCCCCAAAATCTGAGGTGTGGCTAACATTTAGATGCTTCTGGCTCCTTATATCCTACCTAAAGGCATTACTAGGTGGATCTGAAATGCTAGGGAGTCCCATCAAGATTCCTCTTCACCACAATAGCTTGGTTTCCAATTGGACTGCTCCCTTATCTCTACTATTAAGAGCACCAGGTCAACTCTTTCTCTTTAGAATAGCGTGGAGCCCCTAGATGTCACCTCGTTTGACCTCTGGAATCCTTTGGCAACATGGCACTGTGGTGCCCATAAATCATTTCAATTATGTGCTTACTGCATCCTGTAGGCATTGCCACTTCCGTATCAGCATGCTTTTATAAGCAAAGTCACAAGGCCAAGGTGACTATATCTACTGCAGACTTATGCTGTTTTATATAGCTGGATCATCCCAGCTGCTAAGCACTTTTTTATGATCATTGCTACAAAAACTGAATGGTCCCTTTGCCAGTCTGAGCTCTTTCCTCTTCAGGATGATGTG